ATGACAGGCTCACTTTGCTTATTTTAACGAAAATGTCTGGCAAAATATCCCAGTCTGAATAATCATTGTTTGTCTGTCCTTTGGTTTTTGAAGTAAAAGTAATATTCTGTGAAAAGAAGTGGCTAGTTCAGTTTGCAATTCAAACAGTTGCCATGTGTTTTCTCCCAACATAACTGTCAGATTTCAGCGTGCAGCAGAAGCGTTTTTGCGCACACAATGTTAAGATGATGTGCACTCATGGGTGAAACTGACCTCCTTTTCTTAACTGCAAGTGTGTGGTGATGAAGAATGTGATGTGACCACTAGCACAATTTGATGTTACTACCTCGATTTGTGCTGTGGCATCAGCTTTTTACCCACTATTGCCTTTGCACTGATGGTCCAACATCATTGGGATGCACAGTCGACACAGTGTCAAAGGTAAATAGTGTTGTGGTATTTTTATGAAAATAGTTTTTGACATAGCAGATTTTCTGAAAGGGTCTCAAGTACCCTCAGAGTTTTGTAGACCACACTTTGCGAGCTGCTGGTCAGTAAGAGCTTTGTCAGAGTAGAAATCCAGTATGCTATCAAAGATTAGGCTGGTATCCAAAGGACTTGGGAGCCAACTTTGAGAAGCCCCTATTGATCAAAGATGAAACAGTTTGAGCATTAACTGCAGTGGATAAAATATATCAAATATGATTAAATCTATGAATTCATATCGATACATGAAATCAAAATACTTCATTGATCACCTGTGGAGGATTTTAGGAAATGAAATCATTCTTCTGAAGAGTGGTAAATATAAGTAAATTAAAAATCTGGCATTTATTTTGCTTTTATTTAATGAACTATACCTCTAGATAACCAAATATGGAATGGAATATTTATGGAATTATCCATAATTCTCTATAGAAATAACTGTTATAAATGAAGAAGGAATGGTGGAATGACAGAATTATCATTATTTTTCAACTCTTAATAAAATGATGGATCTAAGCAATGGTGGTTGGCGATTGCTTATGTTACAAAAGTAAGATAACCAGACAGACATTATTTGCCTCCTTATGGAAGAGTACAATACTACTTATACAGTATTCTTGTGAGCAAATCAAGCTTTAATCAGATTAGGCTTTTACATCCAACTATCAGTTTGCAGAAAATATGTATAGAAGATAGATAAACATATCGGGTGTGTAATGGCAAAATCCAGAATGCAGGAAACTGTAGTGTAAACAACTAACCGTTTTCAACCAATAAATTTCAAGGAAAAAAAGTAATAAGAAACCTATAGATTAAAAGACAAATGCAGTTTATAGACTTTGCTTGGTTTCTGATTGTACAAACTAACTGTTAAAATGAGAGAGATAATTTGGGAAATTTGAACACAGATTTTGGTATTAAAGGATTGTCATTGTTTTTGGTATAATAGTGATATTGTAGTTACATGTTTTTAAAGAGTTCTTATATTTTAGAAAATGGTTAATGCTGAAATTTTTTTCAGAGGAAATGATCTCTGAAATTTGCTTCAAAGAAGCCAGTGGGATGTGTGTGCTTGCATATGGGTATGTGTGAAATAAGATTATGCATGAGTTGATAATTGTTGAAGTTGGGTAGTGGGTATGTGATGATTCATTATATTATATTTTTTCTTTTGTTCATGTTTGAAATTTTCCATAATGTTAAAGTTTTTGCTCATTCAGATTGATGATGAACAGTTTTAAGGAATCATTCCTTCCTCCTGCAACATTGGAAGAGAAAGAAAATTTGTAAAAACTTAAACATATAAACTTTATCTCTACAGAATTTTTTAGTTTCAAAAATCATGAAATACTTATGAAAACCAAAAAGAATAATGGTATAATGAACACCTATATACTGATCACCCAAGAAATAAAAAATTACAAATAAGGCATAGATGATTGCCTAATAACATTTTTTGTCCTCATCCCTGTAGGTAGTCCCTATTCTGAATTTCATGTTCATCACTTCCATGCATGTATTTTTATATAATACATTTATATATGTATGTATATATTATATATAGATACACATAAGAATATGTTGAATTTGCCTATTTAAAAACTTTTGTTAATGATATACTGTACATATTAAAGTTTTTTTGGCTTTTTTTATTTGGAGATTTATACATAATACTTATTTCTGTACTGTGTTGGCTAGCTGAAAAATTGGTAAATATTGTATAAAATTATTTTTAAATGGTATATTAGTTACATTTTCAAATAATATGCTCAGTATTTTTTTCAACCTCGACACCTTTTCAGGGGAAGTACCTCCAAATTTAGAGGAGTTGTCCAGTTGTTAATATGGAAAAAGTATAATAAATAAATGTTTTCCATATGTTCTCAGATTTTTTTGTTCATTCTGAAGTATAGCTATGTATTGCTCTAATGTTGCCTATATTAGTTACTGTTCTAAGTAATAGGTGTGTAGAATAAGACATACAAGGTCTTTACCTTTATGGAACTTACATAATTTCAGATAGTGATAAATTGTGTGAATATATTTTGCTATTGGAAGTGGAGGGGCTGGTGGAAGTGGGCCCTGTATTTGGATTGCAACCTGGAATGAGAAAGAGCCGGCTATGTGAAAAGCTTGAAGAAATGGTCCTCCCTATTGAGAAGACAATCAAATATAAAGACCTGGAGGTTGGGGGAAAAGCTTGCTGTATTCAAGGAACTGATAGAAGACCACTGTGGCTGAAGCCTAGTGAGTGAGAAGAGTGTTGTTAAGAAATAAAGCCTGAGAGGTAGGCAGAGGCCAGATGCCGTGGGGCCTGTTATGTTAGGCTGCGATAAAGTAAGATTTTACTGGGAGTCTGATAGGAAGCCATTGAAAGGTTTTTAGTTGGTTAGCAACTTGATTACATTTGTGGTTACACAAATCTACACATGTGGTAAAATGGCATAGAACTATGCACCTACCAATGTCAATTTCCTGGTTTTGATACTGTCCTATAGTTATATAAAATGTAACCATTGGAGAAACTGAGTGAAAGTTATAAGGGACCACTCACTATTTTTGCAACTTCCTGTGACTCTATATTTCAGAATAAAAAGTTGAGAAAGTCACTGTGAGGGAATGGATTATTGAGCATCAAGAAGGGAAGCAGACTAGTTAGGAGGCTGTGAGAGAGGATGATTGCTTGGACTTTGGTAGTAATAATAGATTTGGAGAGAAGTGAATGGATTAGATATTTTAGAGATGAAGCTTGTGTTGGGTGGGAATATGGGAAAGGGGCTCTGGATTTTTATCTTGAGCAACTGATGGTTTCATGTGAATTTGAGAAGTTAAGATTAGAAGAGGAATGGGTTGAGAGGAGGAAACAGAAGAAGTTATATATTGGGCTTGTTAGGTTGGATAAGCTCTCAGAGGTTGAGGCTACTGTTGAATGTAGGAGCCAAGTAGCATATGGATGATAATGACAGCTGTGGGGTTAGATGAGATCACTCAAGGTAAAAGTGTAGAGAGAGTGAAGAGAAGCGGGCTTGGGACAGAGCTGCTGGGGGAGACATCAATGTCTAGAGGTGTGTCAGAGGTGAGAGGAGGAAAATCAGGGGCGTATAGAGTCACCGAAGCCCAAAGAAGAGAGTGTTTGAAGAAGGAGGTAGTGTGGTTTGGATGGTGCTGCAATGCTGAATATGACCTGGATAGACGTGACCACAGGAGATTTTTGGGAGACCTCAGGGTGTGGAATTAAGCTAGTGGTTTGAAAAGTGAACAATATGTGAGGAAATGGAGAGAACAAGTACATATTTCTCTTTGAAGGAGTATCAGAGAAGGGGGGTGGGTAGCTGTTAGGAACACCCATATCATGTTTGTATGCTGACGGGTATGATTACTTGAAAGGGAGATATTAATAGATGATGGATCAGAGAAAGGATAATTGAATGAGCACATCCTTTGATAGTGCACGAAGGGGTGGGATCAAGTGTACAAATGCAGGGATTGTTCTTTGAATCTCAACGTACCAGCCAAAGAGAGCCTTTTAAAAGTGAGAACACACAACTCTTCTGCTCAAAAACTTCCCATATTACTCATTATAAAAGCCAGTCTTTAAAATGGCGTATAAGACTCTAAATGATCTGCTGTCTTTCTGTGTCCTCTCCCATGCCCACCCCCAACTCTGACCTCATCTCTTACTGCTGTTCTTCCTTTAGTAGTCTGTTCCAACCACTCTGGCTACCTCATTGTTAATAGGACAGGGCAAGCACGCTCCTGCCCTGGGATCTTGGTGGTTGTGACTCCCTCTTTCTGGACAGCTCTTTTTGCCAGTTTCTGCCTTGCTTACTCTCTTACTTCTTTTAGCCCTGTCCTTAAATGGTACCTCTCAATGAGGTCTTCTCTGACCACTCTGTTTAAAATTGACCCCCTCACCCTGTACCTTTTATTCCCCCAATCTGCTTTTTCTCCATAGCGTTTCCCATCACTTGACATACTATATAATTTACATATTTACTTATTTTTTGTATTTGTTTATAGTAGATTGGCAACTTCTAGAATAGTACCTACTATATGTGCAGATATTTGTATGATGAATGGGAACGAGGAAGAAACAATATAGGTGGAATAGATGGGTTTAAAGATCTGGTAGTGGGAAGATAAGTGTATTTTTGTTTGATTTTATAACAGTTGTGACGCAGGGCATTGACAGAGTGGAGGTGGGTAGGAGGAAGGATTGTCAGAGTTCTGAAGAAAGCAGAGAAAGTGTGAAAAGTCTTCTTGGAGAATGGAAAGGTGAACTTTCCGGGTATGATGTAAGGTTACTGGACAAAGTTGAAGGACATCTGTTATTTGTGGTTTTCTGAAATAGAATGTGTTTCTCTACTTAAATCAGAATTAACAACTTTAAGTTATAAAACATAGTAAGGGAATGTGACATGTGTAAACGCTTTATGTTTTTATGAGGGTAGAATTTTTTTCACAAACAGTGATCTTTATAGTATTGAATTTACCATTGATGTAGAATGTGCCCTAACATTCTACATTCTTTTTAGCCTTACCAATAATTCTCGGGTTGTGGGACTCCTGGCTCAGCTGGAGAAGATCAATACTGAATCTACGGAATCAGATACTGCCAGATATGTTACATCAAAAATTCTTCATCTGGCTCAAAGTCAAGGTAAGCTCTAATCTCTTTTTTTGTTTTTGGGATGCTTTTTTAATTCTTTAAAAGTAGATGCTAAAAGTGTTCAAAATTTTGATGAATGGATGATTTTCTGTAAAAATCGAACTTCCTCAAATTAACTCAAGAAGTAGAAAACTGAATAACTTTGGAGGAATTTGATCTGCAGAGTGTTGTTTCTAATAATGATTACAATTTTGCTTATGTATGATTGCCACCCCTGGCCATTTTCAGTAGCACCTAATTCCAGTGCTACTTTAGAATATTGACAAAAAGGTGTCATGTAGCATAGAATATTGGTTATTGGTGTGATCCCTGCTTTGAAATTCAAGCTCCGCGATTCAGTAGTTGGGTACCTTAAGGAAGTTATTGAATCTCTAGGATATACCATCTGTACCATCTCTGTAATTGAGATAACAGATATCATGAGGTTGTCATGAGATTTACATGAGTAGCATGTAACAAATGTTAAAAATGTTCTATAAACATCATCTTTAATTAGACATTATTTCTATATATCATGAAGCTAGTGCCACTAAATTGTTATCAGAACCTTAACAGTGTACCCGAGAAGTATTGACTTTGCACGTAGGAGCATAATGTGAAAAAGCCCAAATAAAACATTAGTGAATTAAGTATATACATTGAAAGATGAATATCATTGCTAAAGAACCCATACTTCAGGAATGCAAAATGGTATATGTCAGGGAACATATCAGTATAAAATTATTTGAACAGGTCAAATAAAATTCATATAATTATCTCAATAGATAGTTAAAAAAAAGACTTTGATAAGACTCCGAAACTTGGGCTTGGTTTAAAAACACACACACACCCCTTTTTTCCCTGAATAAGGGAAAATCAGCAGCTACTTGAATGTTTAACAGTGATGCATTTATTAAAGGCATTTCTGTTAAAAGTAAAGTCCAACAATTATAATCTTCATTTAATTTTTTGTCATTTCATTATTCTGAAGGTTCAGGTCATTGAAATAAGATGTTTAGTAGGCATTTACTGTTCTCAAAAGCTCAGTATCCATTAAGCCTTCTTGATGGTCATAGACTTTTCATTTATTTTGATAACTTCCTCCTATGCAGCCCATGTGTTTGGGGGATAGTTGACACCACCCCAAAACCCAGGAAAGGTCTCTAACAGATTGCATTTGTTTCCAACAAAATTTAAAATACCCGTACCTTTTAATTCGTAAAGTCACTATGTTGGATTCCAGGCTCTGGAAATAACTGGGCTTATCAACTAAGGCAGTTGTACGGGATATTCATTGTATCAGTGCAAAGTTAAATGTACCAGATATATTCCCTATATTATCATATGAAATACCTCCTCTTCAAAAAAACAAAACAAAAAATCTAACAAAAACAAAAGAAAACAAGTCCTCCAAACCTATAGATAACACTTTTGTCATTGCTCCCACTCCTGTAGACTTCCTGTTGCAGCCTGGAAGCCCCTCCTCCAGTATTACCACTGAAAGTGGTACCACGATGCCACTATTAGAGACTGCCCCACCTCCCACCCTGCCACTCATCACTGGGAAACCAACTTCTAAATACTGTCCCAGGGGAGTGTATGATACAATGACTCTGTTTGTAGTACCTAGGATTCGCCAGCCAACATAGTATAAGTAGTGAAAGATTGTCCCATAATTTATAGGGTAATCCAGTTAGTTATCCATTTGAGAGCAAATGATTGGGAATTTATACTTCAATGAAGAAGAAATGCAAACAACAAATAAACATACAAAGTTTCTTTACCTCCTTAAAATTCAGGAACTGCTAATGAAAACAACAAAGATCTCTTTCCCTACTCAGATTGGCAGAAATGAGAGAGAATGACAATGTCTAGTGCTGTTGAAGGTTCAGGGAATAGGATATACTCCTACACTGTTGGTGGTATAATAATGATTACGAGCTTTGCAGAAAATAATCTGGCAATGTGTATTAAGATTTAAAGTGCACTTGGTATTTGACCCGGCATTTCCACTTTCAGAAATGTATTTGTCTAAAATAAAAATGCTAATACAAGAGTGTTTGGGGATGTTTATTATAGCATTGTTTGTAATATCAAAGATCAAGGAACAACCTAAATATCCATCATTGAGAGAATGGTTGAATACATTTTGATATAGCTGGATGGGAACTTTACAATCATATTATGCAATTATTATCAGTCATAAATTATGGATGATGGGGGCTCTTGTAACCCCCACACCCAGATTTACCCTAGACCAATAAAGTCGTTATAGTTAAAGCTTTCCAGGTGGTTCCAAAATTGAGAGCCACTCCTCTTAAGCAGGGAATGGCAGATGTTTAATGTGAAGGACCAGATAGAACATTTTTTAGGCTTTGTAGGTCATACAGTCTCTGTCACCGCTACTCAGCTCTGCCCTGTAGTGCAGAAGCTGCCATAGATGTTACATAAATGAACAAGCATGGCTGAGTTCCCAAAAACTTTATTTCAAATGAAAGAAAAAACTATGATCAGTGGAACATATAGTTCATATGTGGAGCTATATGAATTGTCATGGAAGCCTATTAATAAAAAGCAAGTTTCTTTAGTTCCTATAACTCTATATCTATAATCCCATTTTTGTATGAAATAAATCATTATATTTGTATGTAATGTTTGTATGAGCCAGGCAAAACAAAAAGGAAGGATACATACTATTAATAATTTGTCAGCATTAGATATATCGATGTGATAGGAATGGAGGGGAATGAGGTAAGCTTCTAATTTTATTTTAGACACTGTTGTACTGTTACAATTGTTGTAATTGTTGTAACAAGCATATGCTCCTTATGTATTTAAATGGTTTAAAAAACAAGCCAACCCCTACAACACACTTTATTGACACAGTTAACTTATAAATTTCCGTAATTTGCCCCTAGTTTTTCTTGGATGCATTATATTTGGCCTGTATAATGTACTGCTTATTTGCAGTATGCATGGTACTTTTTGCAATTTACTCTTTATTTTTTTTCCTAAGCATATTTATATTACCCATTTTCATGCAGATGGCCTAATTTGTTGGCATACAATTCTTCATAATATTTCCTTATAATCCTGTTAGTTTCTGTAGAGTATGGAGTGATGTCCCCTCTTTCGTTGTTGATTTTGGTTATTTGTGTCCTCTTTCTTTTTTTCTTGGTCCGCCTAGCTCAGTAGTTCTCAGCCAGGGTTGATTTTGATTTTGCCCACTCCTTCCCCCAGGGACATTGGCAGTGTTTGGAGACATTTTTGGTTGTAAACTTTTTTGGGAGGGGCTTACTGGAATCTGTTGGATAGAGGCCAAGGATGTTGCTAAACATTCTACAAAAGATGAGACAACCTTCCACAAGAAAGAATTATCTGGCCCAAAGTGTCAACAGTGCTGAGGTTAAGAAACCCTGGTCTAGCTAAAAGATGGCCAATTTTGTTTATCTTTTGAAAGAACCAACTTCTGGTTTAATTGATTTTCTCTGTTTTTCTGTTTCATTGATCTCCTTCCTTAATTTATTGCTTCCTTTCTTCTGCTTGCTTGGAATTTAATTTGTGCATATTTTTCCATTTTCTTATAGCGGAAGCTTAGATTATCTTGATATTAGCCCCTTATCAGATATATAGTTTGTGAATATTTTCTCCCATTCTGTTTGCTTTGTTGATTATTTTCTTTGCTGTGCAGAAACTTTTTGAATGAATTAAGTCCCATTTATTTATTTTTACTGTTTCTATAATTGCCTTTGTGGTCTTAGTCATAAATTCTTTGCCTAGGCCATTGTCTAGAAAAGTTTTTCCTACATTTTCTTCTAGAATTCTTATGGTTTCATGCCTTAAATTTAAGTCTTTTATCCATCTTGAATTAATTTTTATAAGTGGTGAGAGATAGGGGTCTTGTTTCATTCTTCTGCATATGGCTATCCGATTTTCCCGTCATCATTTATTGAATAGGGCTTCTTTTCCCCAGTGTATGTTGTTATCTGCTTTGTCAAAGATCAGGTGGTTGTAGGTAGATGGTTTTACATCTGGGTTCTCTGTTCTGTTCCATTGGTCTATGTCTCTATTTTTGTACCAGTACTATGCTGTTTTGGTTACCATAGCCTTGTAATATAGTTTGAAGTCTGGTAATATGATGCCTCCAGATTTGTTTTTGTTTTTTTTTTTTTTTTTACTTAAGATTGCTTTGGCTATTTGGGCTCTTTTTTTGGTTCCAAATGAAGCATAGAATTATTATCCCAGTAAATTGGAATAAGAAATTCTTGTGGAATTTTTTTTTACTCTGATTAGGAGCAGAGAATGCATGTTTTTAGGATTCATTTCTGTATAAGGGTTGGAGAGTTGGGGGGGCACATTAGAATTCAACCTAGGTGTGGAGGGAACTTTATTGTGGGTAAACAGTGCTACAGTTGATGAGTTAGAAGTTTCTATGAAGGAGACAGTAAGGTTTATATAATCCTTATAAAGGAAAGAGGAATAGGAATATTAGGAAGTTATGGTCTGTAAGTGGAAGATTACAGATTAAGATGTCAGAGGTGGAACAGTTTAAGGTCCTGAGAATGGCCGTTGAGAGGGTCGATAAATTGGAGCAAAGGGGAAAGGATTTTGTTGTTGTGAGGTCAGGAAACTATGGAACTCTTGGTATTTGAGTGAATTATCCAAATTGACATTGAAATATCCAAAAAACTATTAATCTAACACCTAGTTTTCATTTAGTGTGAGGCATAAATGTAGTGATGGTGGATGTTAATAACAAAGTGAGTTAGAGGCTACATTGTACTATCTTCAAAGTAACAATGTTTTTCCTCTCCATGAAGGTTAAAATATAATGGTTTGTTAGAAGTGGAGATCTCGTACTTCTGAATATGTACATGATATTAATATAGAAAAATGATTTGGCTTTAATATTAAATCAGTGGTATTAATATTATATCAAAGATACATTGAATATTTGAAACAGTGGTTTATTTGTTTTCTTTTAAAACTTAATAGTTTTTGGTGGAGGCAGCTGGGCTGGGGAAAGAGTGACGGATAGGTTGCATTGCCAGAGGAATCATATACATTTTAAAAAGAAAAAAATTTACTACCATTGTGTTTTTCTTTTTTAATAGGTAAAAAAAGTTGTCATTCTTTTAAGCATTATCAATATAGCAGCAGGGAAGGAACAGAGATGAGCAGTGTTCAGGATCTTCATAGCACTGATGGGTGTTTCTACTCTGAAAGATGTAAGGTTTCTGTAAGTTTAACAAAATTCATTAACTCGACCTGAGATGATACATGATAGCAGGAGATTGTTTAGAGATAAATATTTATAGGTAGTCATTGATAGTTGTCATAAATAATATTATACTATAACCTCTCTGTAGTACATTTTTCCTTCTCTTCAATAACTCCTAATTTAGAGTAAGTTATTCAAATGTATGTCCGGTCTATGACGTTGAAAGGGATTTGCTTAGGGCAAAAATATGATGTTCTGAAGGCTTAGCCTGAGTTTTTTTCCCCCTCTGTGTTGATATTTTCCCCTCATGAGGGCCTCAGTGCTCATCATTCTGCTTTTAAACTCCCTTGACTATCTCCATATGAAACACTGGATTTGGTACTACCAGTCCTTCAAACTTTATTGTGGAGTATGTACTGTATTGAGAATGGCTTGTGTTCTGTAGATCTCAAAATGTGAAATGCACGGCATTGTTGTCCTATATTGAAAGATTTTGTGACATTAGTATTCAGATTTGAAAAAGTTGGAGAGCGGCACTGAGTCTCTTTTGCAATAATCCTGCTAAAAAAATGATTCCTGTGACTCTTAGAATTGCATTAAATTAATGAAAGACTGTAAGCTTTGGGTTCAGAAACACCTGGATCACTTGGTCTGTTTCACTTATTTGCTCAATGACTTTGTAAAGGTTTCTTCTCCTTTCTCAACTTAAGTTTTTGACCCCTGAAAAGAGTAGTTTTTTTTCCTCAGAGTGTTAAAGTTTTGAGGTATAAATGAGATAATGTAGATAAAGTACATGGAATAGGAAATGTTAGTTCCTTTCCTAAATGTTGGTTTATGAGGTATTTTTCCTCTCTTGTTATTCACAGGAGAAGAATTATCAAGAAGCTCTAGAAACTTTTGAATAGAAATAATTTGTACTGTTTTCTTCTGTCCCAGTGAGAGGAAAAGGATCATTTGGGTGATCTGTTCTCCAGATTCTCTTATAAGTAACTCTTCCTTAGTTTTATTTATTTTTGTGTGATTGAGAATTTTAAAATAGTATTAATACATAAAAACATTTGAAAATGGTACTAGGTTTTTGCTTTCACCCATTTTGATGAACTATTTTGTAGTTCTAATCATAAAGATGAAGAAAGAAGCTGCCATCAAGACTCCTACCTTATCCCCAGTTCTGGCACTTGTACTGTATTATTGGTTTTAAGATTTTAGATGGACAGATAGGGAGACACTAGGTCATGACAGCAGCTGTGATGAAATGCAAGGAAGGTCTTGTTAACAGAAATCTGGACGTCCCCACAGAGTAGAATTAGCAACATCGGAGGGAAGAATATCTTATCTAGAAACCAATTTAGAATGTTTATTGGACCAGTGGAGACTTACTGATTCTGCATTAGCTATATGTAACAAAACTATATATATTTTGTTTCGATTTGTGTTTTAGAATTTTTTTTCCCTACTTTTCAGAAAAAACGAGGAGAGAAATGACAGCCAAAGGTTCTACAGGAATGGAAGTTCTGCTGTCAACGTTAGAGGTAAATCAGGAATCGGGCTTTAACTATATAACTGCTAATACCAGGCAATACTGGAGAGAAAACTTACATGAAGTGTAAAAGTTTTATCTTAGAAGTAAAGCCAATAAATGAAAGTGTGTTTTGTGTTCTTAAAGTATTATTTGGAATGGTGATAAAAGTGTTCTAGTATGTATTAGGTGAATATTTAAGTATATTTCTCTATGATTATAATGATAACTGTAAATTTTAACCCTAACATGCCATTCTAATTGGTAATAGAAAATAAAATATTAGCTGGAAATATATCTTTAGCTTAAAATAAGTGATTGACATTAAAAATTATCATTTATTGTATTGTGTTAGCTGATACACATTTGTGATTTGTTTTACTACATACATTGGGTGAGTAACTATATTATGTTGATGATAATTGAATTTCTATGCCAGTCTAAAAGTTTTGGGTGGGCCAGCAGGATATATTCAGAATCTGGATTCTATATTTTATTCAGTGCAATGTTACAAGGAATGAGTTCATGTTTTTTTATAGGAAGTCTTCACATCATAAAGACATCATAAAGATGTCATCATAAAGATGACATCATAAAGATGTCATTTCTCCCTAAATTGATCTGTCACTTTAGAGCAATCTCAATAAAAATTCCTACAAGTTTTGTTTCTAAAGTCCAAAAGGGGGAGGGGAATCAAAAATATTTAATAAAAAGCACATTTCTGAAAAAGAACGGAAATGAGAAAGGACTATTCCCACCAAATGTCAAAGAACATTTTAAAGCTTCAGTAATTCAAATGGTTTAGAAATTATGCGTGATTAGTAGATAGATATCAGTGTAACTGAATAGAAAATCCAAAAATAAATTTAAGTGCTTATAGCATTTAGTAGTATGTAACAAAGGTAGCATTTCAGATCAGTGAGAAATAGATTACTTATTGGTAGCTATGTGGAAAAGTATAACATGGGATCCTTACTTCCTGCATCCTGTACCAAAATAAATTCTACATCAAGCAAAGATTTAGGCATGGAAAATGAAATTATAATACTAGAGGAAGCAAGGGGAGAAATTTTAAATAATCTTACAACAAAGAAGGCTTTTCTAAGTATGAAAAAACAGGAGCTATAAAAGATTGATAAATTCAACCATGTTAACAAAAAGTACATGAAAAAAACACCATAGGTACTTGGAAAACAGAGGAAAAATATTTTGACTCATAGTTTCTTTGACATATAATGAACTTCTACAATCAGTAAGGAAAAAAAATCAATAACCCAAAAGAAAACCGTTAAAAGGCTATGCACAGTTTGCAGAAAAAGAAATAAAAATGTCATTTGAGATTGAACATTACTTTTGATAAGACATATGTAACCAAAGGACAGTGTTTAAACATTTTCACCTATTAGATTGGTTGTCCAGACTTCGGGAAATAGTTACTCTTCCACAATGCTGATGGGAGTAATAATTATTCCATGGAGAACAATTTGGTACTATTTATCAAAATAAATTATCAAAATAAATGCCCATATTCTTCGACCAAGAAATTCCAGGAATTTATCTCACATACAAGTGTACTTCAACACATATAAATGTACTTACTTATTTGTTGCAATTTTTAATAGCAAAATATTAAAAACAACCTAAATATCTTATGGGTAGGTGACTGGTTACATAAACGATGATATAGCCATATAATGGAATATATCCTGTAGCCCTTAAAAAGAATAAAGAAGCTCTTTATTTATTAATGTGTAAAATATCAAGATGCAAAATAATATCTATAGAGCAATACTATTTAGAGAAATAAATCTGTATATACATGTATATTTACATGAATTTCTTTTATCCTTATGGAGAAATAAATCTGTATATACATGTATATTCACGTGGATTTTATGTTATCTTTGGCAGGATACATAAGAAATGGGTAACATGATTGCTTTCTGAGAGGGGAGCTGGGTGATTGAGTAGTCACCATATACATTGTAGTGCCTTTTATATTTTCATTCATTTACTGTTTCTTTGGTATAAAGATGAGGAATTCAAATGACAAATTAATTTTTCTTTTAATGTTGATATAAGCAAATAGTTCAAAATGATTTGTAAAAATTCTTAAAGGCAAGAATCATAGACTGAAATGATAAGAGAATAGTGGAAACCTGAATACATTTATTACTAGAGAAATTGGAAAGGTCATTTGTCAAATATGGGTAGTTCCCAACAGGTACAAAAAGTTTGAGAATCACAAATTTACAATGTCTTAACAAAGCAAATTATTTATTTCAGAATACAAAAGATCTTCAAACTACACTCAATATCTTAAGCATTCTTGTTGAGCTGGTGTCAGGTGGTAAGTTTTTGTTTCCTTTGGTCTAATTTCTGTTTGTAAACAGTGATCAGCGATGTATCATGCACACTTTATTTGGAATTTTCTAATACTCATAGAGACTATTCTGAGTATTGGAATTTAGAAACTGAAATGTCTTAACTCTTTTGTTGTTGTTTTGTTTTTGGTATCTTCAAATATCCCTCAAACTACTGAGAGCCATGTGTTTCAGAACTTTGAATCTAAAATTTTGACATCACTTGTGTTTATTCTTTGTATGCTTTTTTCTTACTAAATGAGATAAAACAAAATATGATTTTGATGGTATTTGCTTGATTTTAGAAGTCATCACTTTTAACCATTTCTTGAATGCTAACAAGTTGTGATACCTAATATGGGAGGATTCGCTGTTCAAGATTTGTTTTGTAAATTTTTAGGTGGAGGTCGCAGAGCAAGTTTCTTAGTTTCCAAAGGTGGTTCACAAATATTGTTACAGTTACTTGTGAATGCCAGCAAAGAGTCTCCCCCACATGAGGAGTTAATGGTACAGATTCATTCTATTCTTGCAAAGATTGGACCAAAAGGTAAGGATTTCACTTGTATGATTATCGAATCTAGAACAATGTTTGTAACATGGATTCTCTCTGCCTTGAAACTGCTCAATTGTTAAAAATTTTATTTCTCATTTTTATGGATATGTAATAATTGTACATATTTATGGGGTACATGTGATATTTTGATACAGGCCTACAATGTGTAATGATAAAATCTGGGTACTTGAGATATCAGTCACCTTAAACATTCTTTATTTCTTTGTGTCGAGAACATTCCAGATTTCTCCTATAGCTATTTTGAAATATAAGATAAATTGTTATTAGCTATAGTTGCCGTATTGTGCGACTGAACACTGGAACTTATTCCCTCTAACTGTATTTTTGTACCCATTTAACCAACCCTTTTTTATCCCCCCTTCCTACTACCCTTGCCAGCCCCTGGTAGCCACCATTCTATTCACCGCCTTTATGAGATCAATTATTTTAGCTCCAACATATGCGTGAGCACACGTGATATTTATCTTTCTGTGCCTGGCTTATTTCACTTAACATAATGTCTCCTCCTTCCACCTATGTTGCTGCCAACGGCAGGATTTCAGTTTTTTCATGGCTGAATAATATTTTATTGTGTATATGTACCACATTTTCTTTATCTATTCATTCATTGATAGATACTTAGGTTGATTCTGGATCTTGGCTATTTTGATAGTACTGCAATAAACATGAGAATGCAGATATCTCTTTGATATACTGATTTTATTTCTTTTGGATATACGCAGCACTGGGATTGCTGGATCATGTGGTAGTTCTATTTTAGGTTTTTGAGGAACCGCCATACTATTTTCCATAGCGGCTATCCATACTAATTTACATTCCCACCAAGAGTGTATGAGCATTCCCTTTTCTACACATCCTTGCCAGTATTTGTTATTTTCTATCTTTTTCATGATAGCCATTTTAACTGAGGTGAGATGGTATCTCATTGTGATTTTAATTTACATTTCCCTGATGATTAGTAGTGTTGAACGTTTTTTCACATTCCTGTATATTGGCCATTTATATGTCGTCTTTTGAAAAATGTCAATTGAGATCTTTTGCCCATTTTAAAATCCAATTATGTGGGTTTTTTTGCTACTGAGTTAAGTTCTGTATATATTCTGGTTATTAACCTCTTGTTGGATGAATAGTTTGTAAATATATTCTCCTGTTCTGTAGGTTGTCTCTTTACTTTGTTGATTGTTTCCTTTTGTGTGCAGAAGCTTTTTAGGTTGATGTAATCCCATTTGTCAATTTTTGTTTTGGTTACCTATGCTTTCGAAGTCCTAGTCAAGAAATCTTTGCCCTGACCAATGTCCTGAAGCATTTCCCCAATGATTTCTTCTAGAAACTGCTCAGTTTTTAAAATCTAAAATGCTACTTCTTTTTCTTGGATGTAGTAATGAAATGCTTTTTTATAGTCAACTAGTGACATGCAGGAATTCAGAATCCAAAATTCATGAGGAATTAGTAGAAAAAAGAAAAATATGTTAGAATCACAGGTATGTCTTGGGGTGCGTGTGTGTGCCTGTTTATGTATGTGTGTAAAGGGAATGTAATATGGTTGTTGTCGAGGTTAGAAGGAGGGAGTATGGATGGGAATGTTTTGAGGAACATGGAAGTAAAATATGTCATTGCTTTTCATTAATAGTCGTATTTGTGCTGCACAGTCCCAATGCCTAGGAAACTTTTACTCTAGTTAAGAAGACCAAAATAGAAAAAATTACAAGACTGATTATTATAACAATGAGACATGCAAAATATTAAAAAATACCAATTGAGTAAAATGGGATATAGAATCAAGGAAGAAGCAGATTTAGGTTAGGTTAACAGAGGAGCCCATCCGTTGAATAGAACCTATGTTCAGTTTACAGTTGTTTACCTGCACAAAGATTAAAGTGATTTCCTAAACTCTTAGAATTGTGTTTTAAGAGTTTTCCATTGCCTTGTGGCATATATATGAGTTTTAAACTTTGAAGTGTTTGGCTAAAATGCTTATTTTAAAAAGTGAGGCTATATGTATACACAGTTTGTGTATCTGTATATATTTCATGCATATCTTTATATATTATATAAATATTTAACCTAGTATTTTTAACAGGTGTTTTATAGAAAGGAACTGTGGGTGACTTTAATTTTCCAGGTGTATTAGGGGCCTAAAGACTTAAACATATATTCAGTTTATGTAAGAAACGTATTAGCTGTCTCTTATTTTTCTGTAACTCGTGTTTGAGATTTTTGTGGAGAATGAAAAATAAAGTAAGAAAACCTTATTTATTGATCAATATTGTTATCTCATACTTCC